TGGACGAGCGGGGTTAATATCACCACGCGGCTGGCGGTGGTGCAGCAGTGTGCCATATCATCCCTGCTCTCGGGGTGTCGGTCCCGATCCTGGAGCAAAGCTGACATCATTCGGCTCCAACGAGTCGCCAATTATGGGGTCCGGAGAGCTTTCGGGATGGATGGGTGGGCCATGGAAGAGCACTCGATCACTGACGCTGCACTGTACCGGGCCGCCCGTTGGAGGACGATTGAAGATCAGATTACTCGTCTGGCCATGCAGTGGCTCGGGCACGTAGCCCGTATGCCCGTGTACCGTCTTCCCAAACAGGTCTTATTCGGCTGGATCGCCGGCAGAGGGTGTGATGAACACAACCGTTGTTCGTGGCAGTACCTCTGGCTGAACCGCGGGGTACAGCGCATGCGGATTCACGAACACGATTGGTTTCGAAGGGCCACCAACCGGCAGGCTTGGAGGCGCGCAGTAGACAAGGCTTTCCCTGCCCTCGAGATCACGCCGGAATACAGGGCCCTCGTGAACCGATGGCGCCCTGGAGCCCCGTTGCCCGGCAACGGTCAGGAGGGGGCCTCGGGACCCATTTTGGGCGTTCCACCGGTCCCTCCTCCTCCTCCCCCTCCCCCTCCCCCTGTTCCTCCCCCTCCCCCTCTGCAGGAAGGGGGGGATGGCGCTGCTGCAGCAGGAGGGGCCAATGGAAGGTACGCGTGCCCTGTCCCGGGGTGCGGACAGAGCTTCCGCGCGGGCAACCAGCTTCGCTTTCATTATGATGAGCACCACGCCATCCGGGACCCGAACTTGGTGACCAGTTGGGCGCATTTTTGCCCCGACTGTAAGCAATACCTGGGTACTCGGCTTCAGTACCACAAGCCCCATTGTGCGGCGCGTCTGGAATTCCAGCGGGCCCTGCAGACCACGGAGGGGAGGTGGATGGAGGTGCAGTACGGGCCGCACCGGGCGCCGCCGGATGGCTGGTGGATAGCGACTGATGGCTCCGGGGCTGAGGGAGAAGCTGGTTGGGGCGCAGTCATTTTTAGATATGACGGCCCGAACAGCATGAGCAGGGTACCTGATGTGGTGCTTCACGCACCGGTCGTCACGCAGGCGTGGGACCACCGCTGGATAGGCGCACGCTCGCGTACCAACAACACGGCCGAGTTATCAGCAATAGGTGAGACCATGCACTGGCTTCTAGAAGAAGCGCCAGACGGAGGCGACACCCCTGTGCATATTCGGTACGATTCACAGTACGCCGCGAACATCGCGCGTGGTATTTGGGAGGCCCAGTCCAACGGGGAGCTGGCCGAAGCGGTGCAGGAACTCACACGGCAGGTATCGGAGAGGAGGCACATTACGTGGGAGCATGTTTACGGACACACGGGCGAGCACGACAATGAGCTCGCCGACAGGGCCGCGAACCTTGGGCGTGAAGGTCTTGTGTCGAATATGTCTCGGCGCCTTACTGCTCCGCCCCCTCCTGTCCGCGATTTGGAGTGGAACGAGGTAGATATCTGCCGTAAGTGTGGTGTTCGTGTACTCATAAAGGACTTCCAAGGCCATGTGCGTCGGTGCACAGCCACAGGTGGAGTTATTCCCGACGGGTATGACAAGTGTCGCAAGTGTGGAGTCCTCATCAAGAAGTACGATAGCAGCAGCGCCCGCGCCGGCCATGAGCGCCGGTGCCGGGGGAGCGAACTCGCCAACCGCACCTGTCGGAAGTGTGGCCACGTGTTCCCGCCAGCGCCGACTGGCACTCTGAGTAAGCAATGCTCCACACATGAGGCGAAATGCAAAGGCGCCCCCCCCTCGGGAGCGGCGGCGCAGCCGGCGGGAGACGTGGCGGCGCCGGCAGCGGTTGGTCCGCCCCCGGCGGCGGCCAAGGCCCAGGCCAAGGCCAAGCCGAAGGCCCGGGGTCGCGGCGCCGGGGCCAAGGCGAAAGCCCGGGCAAAAGGGCGTGGCCGTGGCCGGGGGCGGTAAGGGGGGATCGGTCCCGGGCCGTCCCGGCCTCTTCATACTGGGCTGCACCGCAGGTAAAATTGTCGCGCTGCCGGGCCGAGGGCCCAAGCTCCGCAGATGGCCTCTACGCAGGACCATCCTGGGGGGGAGCAACCCGTGTTGCGCCCGGCACCGGATCCCTCCGGCTGCCTGCTCCTCCCCAGCCCCCACGCGGCGGGGGAAACCCGCGGTGCACCCGGGAAGAGGGGGTCGGGGAGCGGCCGGGTCCGGTCGCAGGAACACGCACGATTCCCCCCTCACGGGCGGACTCCCTTCCTCCGGCGGCCGGCGGCGGACGGGCGGGCGGCGCGGGCGGACGGACTCCCCTCGACGGCGCCACCCATTCCCGGGGCCCTCTTCCTCCCCTCCTCTCCCTCCTCCCTGTCTTCCCCCTTCTTTCTTCCCCCTTCTTTCCCCCTTCCCCTCCTCCTCCCCCTCCTCCTCCCCTCCCCTGCCCCCCCTTCCTGGCTCCCCCCGGTGGGTTCTGTCGTCCGTGGAGTTGCTGTGCGGGCTGGCGTGTGTCCGAGGTTCGCTCTCGCCCCGCCGATCGATTTGCTGTAGAGTGTGTCGGAATGGGCAGGGCACGCAGCTGGGAAGGGGCGGGGAATGCTGCCTCGCCGCGCGCCGTGTTTGGCTTATATCAGCACGCGGCCGCCCCCCGCCGCGCCCCCCGCCTACGGCCGCGCCGCGGCTGCACGGTGACCACCCGCTCGCTCGCTGACTGCGGCTGCAATGTCGGAGAGGCGCCGCGCCCAGGTTGACCAGGCGATCGCCTCGCTCAACGACCGAGTCGCTGCGGTTGAGTCGACCCAGGCGTCCATGGGGCGCCGCCTGGACGCCGCCCTGAAGTCGACGAGTGTCGTGTGTGAAGGGTTCGAACGGTGCGGAACCGAGTGGGCGGCGAAGGCCCCCGGAGGCCAGTGGAGGGAGCTCAAGGCGGCCTGGGGCCAGGCGGTTGCCGGCGACCTGCGTGCCCAGTTGGGCATTGGACCGGACGACGCGGCCGTGCCCGAACCCGCCCTCAACGCCCCTGTTGCCCACGCGGTGGCAGTGGTGGGGGCTGCCCTGTCGATGCCGGGCGTAATAAGCGGACTGTTCGCCCAGACGCGGTGGTCTGAGGCGGATGGCGCCCACGTCCCGGTCCCGAACACGTACAAGATGGTGCTGGAGCCGTGCCTGGAGAGCCTGCAGGTCCAGTCTGCACTGAGGGTGTTGGACCACCCGCTCCGGCGGAAGGCCGGCCTGGCAGTCGCAGGCGTGGCGCCTGCGCCGCTGGCGGCCGGGCAGCCTCCGCCGCGCCGTGTACTCATGTACACGGAGCGCACGAGGGCCGAGCGCGCCAATGGTAAGGGCAAGGGCAAGGGCGACAAGGGGGGCGGGGGCCTCGCCCTTGGCAGGAGCCGCGGCGACGGCAAGGGAAAAAGCAAAGGCAAGGGTAAGGGCAAGGACAAGAAGGGCAAGGCCGCCCTGCGCAGGCCGGCGGCGGCCGAGGGGGCAGCGGAGGCGGCGGCGGCGCCGCCGTGGAGGGCGGCCGACGGCGCGGCAGCCCCCGCGGCGGGGGCCGGCGCTGCACACGGCGCAGGAGCAGGCTCAGGAGCAGGCGCGGCGGCCGGCGCAGACGGCGCGCCGGCGCCCGGCCGCGTGTAAGCCGTCGGAGCGAGCGGGTGGTACCAGTGACACCGATGGCACTGGGGGCAGCCCATGCTAGGGCGCTGTTATTAATGCTAATTGTTCTGGGTTGTCCAATAACTACACGTCGCACGGGCAGGGGGGCCTGCCGCGAAAGCATCTTCCTCCTCCCCTTGGGCGTCGTCGTCGTCGTCGTCTTCGTTGTCGCCGGGGTCGCCGCGGTCATCCCGGCGTCTTCGTTCCGTGCGGCGGCGCCGACGTCGGCCGAGGGGGTTGGGAGAAGATGCTGGCGCGGCTTGGCCCCCCTGATTCGGTCCCCCGGTCGGTCCCTCACTCCCTCCCTCCCGCGGCCTTCCTCTCGCTCCTCCTCATCCCCAAGGTTTGATTCAGAAGGTTCCTGCATGTGCACCAGCTACGGCCCGGGGGCCGCGCTGGCCGTGAACCCGGAGGACGAGGACGAGGACGAGGACAAAGTGGTAACTTTGGGTGGTTTTGGTTTGGAGCAAGCAGATGCATCTGTGAGGGCCTCTCTTACTTAGTATGAGCTCTGTAGGCGCACTGGAGGAACTATCTTCATGTCGACACGGAAAAAATGTGTGTGTGTGTGTGTGTGTGTGTGTGTGTGTGTGTGTGTGTGTGTGTGTGTGTGTGTGTGTGTGTGTGTGTGTGTGTGTGTGTGTGTGTGTGTGTGCGTGTGTGCGTGCGTGCGTGCGTGCGTGCGTGCGTGCGTGCGTGTGCGTGCGCGCGCGTGATGTGGTGTGACGCGGTGTAGCGTGGTGGTGGTGGGTGGGGTAGTGGGGTGGTGGTGGCGGTGCGCGTGGTGGTGCGCGTGCGTGCGTGCGTGCGTGCGTGCGTTGGTGGGTGGAAGTGGCGGTGGGCGGGGCGGGGCGCGGTGCGGTGGTGGCGGGCGGATGGGCGCGCGAGAAAGAGGCCCGCGCTGGGGCGAGAACGCCATCCTGAACGACGGAGGCAAAACACCAATCCGAAAATGAGGCCCACGCTGCAGCGGGAACACGATTCAGAACGAGCGGAAGCCCCAAAATGAGGCCGGCGCCTCAGCGAGAGCAGCATTTTGAACAAAAAGACCAAGCGAAAACCCAACTCCGGGAAATCCTGTGTGTTAAAAAACAGTACGCGGAGGGATACCCGCCATCTTTCGCACGCCATCAGGGGATGGAGGAGAGTGACTTCATATTAAGTAACTGTGGAGGAGGAAGAGGAGGAAGGGGAGGAGGAAGAGGAGGAGGAGGAGGAGGAGGAGGAGGAGGACCGGCAACGGCCACTCCCCCCTCCCAAGAGGGCAGGAGAGCCCTTTGCGGGTGCACCCGCGAAGGCCCGAGGGCCACCCCCCCCTGGGGGCAGGCCGCCGCCCCCCCCCGCAGGAGCCCGAGCCGCCGCCGGGGCAGCCCCGGCCGCCGCCGTCGCCCCGGTCTCCCGAGGCACCGGCGGCGACGGCGAGCAGCGGCGGCCGGCGACGACGGCAGCAACAACCAGGGGGACGAGCAGTGGCAGGAACAGACAGACTCGGAGGTCCGCGCGGGCCTCCGAGCAATGTATGTTCATGTCATGGTCCTGGCATCGCTCGGACGTGTGCCTTTTTTCTCGGCGGGGACCGTCGAGGGCCATCCTGGACCACCGAGCAAAAAAAAATAAACGAGACCGAAACATGTACAGGAAGTGGACATCCGAGCGACGGCAAGTTGTTTTTGTTCCCCCGCAGCGGCCACGGCGGCGACGGGGGCGACCACGGCAGCGAGGGCAGCGACGGCGACGACGGGGAAAGGGCGCGGATCAGAGGGGGGCGAGTCGAGGCAGCAGTGGTCGGCCTCGGCGGGGCGACCCTCGTCGCCGCGGCCGGACGCAGCCCAGGAAAAGCTGGCGCGTTTGGGCGCGGGAGGGGCCTGGAGGGATCTGGGGACTGATGTTGAGCTGCTGTTGTCTCAACTCGCCCTGCTCCGACTGGGGCTCATAAGGATCCGTGGGGAACTTCTGGAAGGGGAAGGTGGGGGCTGGAGGAGGCGACTCGCGAAACTGCCTGCGTCCAAGAGGCTGGTACGATTCTGGGAAGCGCTCGGACATTCGAGTAGGGAGAAGAGCGTAATATGGAAGAGAGGGCATGATACGAAGGAGACGGAGCACCTGAAGATGGACCAAGTGGATGGAGGAGGAGGAGGAGGAGGAGGAGGAAGAGGAGGAACAGGAGGAGGAACAGGAGGAGGGACAGGAGGAGGAGCAGCAGGAGCAGCAGGAGCAGCAGGTGGAGGTGGAGGTGGAGGTGGAGGTGGAAGTGGAGGCGGAGTTGAAGGGGCGATGGCGCAGGTAGTTCAGAAAGCGAGCTAAACTTCAGGGAGGCCTCAAAGTGACCTCCCCAGTGGGGTGCGCAGACGACGTCCAGTCTGGGGTCGCCTTTTGGACCCAGGCTGGCAGAGTCACTTCGTGCAGCTACAGACTTGTAAGTGCACGCGAACTCCCCGCGCGCTCGGGACTGCGACTTGTCCCTCCTCGGCAGGTGCCAGCCCCGCGACGGCCACGCCCAGTCGCAGTGTCCCCAGAGCCTTAGTGGGCCCTGGAAACGACAGGGCCGTTTTTTTACCGGTTCCATTTTGCCGTTTTCTTGCCGGTTCCGACGCCGTTTTTTTACCGGTTCCGTCGCCGTTTTTTGACCGGTTCCGGCTCCGGTTCCAATCCTGGAGCCGTTTTTTGCCATTTCCGGTCGTTGTTTTTTTGCCGTTTCCATTTTCAAGGGACTTTTTTAGGGGGAAACGGTGAAAGAACGACCCTGCCGTTTCCGGGGCCCACAAAGCCCAGAGCCCCCAGAATCAAACGGGTCTCAAGACAGGCTCGCAGGGATCCCGGGGCTCTTCCGGCCAGAGCTGCTCGGTTGGGCGCGCGGCGCGCTTCGGGTGCGGTCCAGGACGGCTCGGAGACGAGCTCGGAAGCCTCCTGGGGGCTTCTGGACGGGTCACACGGGCTGCCCACACATCTGGCTGGCCCCATTTCGGCACACCCCTCACACGTTTCGTGGCCACACGTTTCGTGGCCCCACAGGGAACTCCACCGAAGGCCCGAGTGGGAAAGTTCGCATGGCACCGCCGCCCAATTTCGGCACTCCCCTCACACGTTTCGTGGCCCCATAGCGAGCCCCACCTGAAGCCCCAGTGTGAAAGTTCGCATGGCACCGCCGCCCCATTGCGGCACAGCCCTCACACGTTGCGTGGCCCGCTAGGGAGCTACACCGAAGGCTCCAGTGGGAAAGTTCGCATGGCACCGCCGCCTCATTGCGGCACACCCCTCTCACGTTTCGTGGTCCCATAGCGAGCCCCACCGAAAACCCCAGTGGGAAAATTCGCATGGCACCGCCGCCCAATTTCGGCACACCCCTCACACGTTGCGTGGCCCCCTATAGGGAGCTCCACCGAAGGCCCCAGTGGGAAGGTTCGCATGGCACTGCCGCCCTATTGCAGCACACCCCTCGCAAGTTTCGTGGCCCCACAGGGAGCTCCGCCGAAGGCCCCTGTGGGCAAGTTCGCATGGCACCGCCGCCCCGTTTCGGCACACCCCTCACACGCTCCGTGGTCCCTTGGCACCGCTGCCCGCCCCATGTCGGCACACCCCTCACACGTTTCGTTGCCCTGTAGGGAGCTCCACCGAAGGCCCTAGTGGGAAAGTTCGCATGGCACCGCCGCCCAATTTCGGCAAACCCCTCACACATTTCGTGGCCCCATAGGAAGCTCCACGGAAGGCCCCAATGACGACGCTCGCAGGCGTCCTCTCGATTCATGTCGGCACACCCCTCACACGTTTCGTGACAGAAGGCTATACCGCGTGCGCTACTCGGAGTTTGCGCGCCCCCTTCTTCGTCTCATCTCCCACGCGGCACTCGCAGCTGTATTATATGGTTGGGTCCTTCGTCAGGCTAATGTTTCGGAGCGTCGGATATTTGGCTGTTACGGCCGTATTGTTCGGGAATGTGTTTGGGGGCTCTAGCTCCGACGTCGTGTGTTCTCTCACAATGTGAACCTCCAGAGGTTTGCACCCTTTCCACAAGGCCGGTTTTTTCTTCCTGAGCAGTCCGTTGACGGTCCCCGGTGAGGACCCCCAAACTAGCCAAAATTGCAGCAACAACAAGAAAGGAGGCTTCCCTCCGACGTAATTAGGCAATTTTTCGATCCCCCTTGCTTGTCCAATCTACCTTACGACGACGACGACGACGACGACGACGACGACGACGACGACGACGACGACGACGACGACGACGACGACGACGACGACGACGACGACGACGACGACGACGAGGACGACGACGACGACGACGACGACGACGACGACGACGAGTCGAAGGAGACTGGCGTACTTCAGTTTGGGTTAGGCTGGCCTCGCGTCGAAGGGCCCCTCACACACGCCGACTGGGTCGGCGGATTTGTTCACATTGCCAGGAGGTGGGTGCTTGGCAAGCGAACTGCCACCTCCTTGCTTCTAGGCCCCCCAGCTGGTCCGAGCAGATGGGGTCGGAGCATTGCGCCGCATCGCCGCATCGCCGATGCGTTGTCGACGTAGAGCCCGACCTCCTCCACGCCGACGTCGCCGATGAATCGTCTGCATCGCCGGTGCATCGGGGATGCATCTGCGATGCTGCGCCCTCCTCCGACCCCATCTACTCCGAGGAGGAGGAGGAGGAGGAGGAGGAGGAGGAGGAGGAGGAGGAGGAGGAGGAGGGAGGAGGAGGAGGAGGAGGGAGGAGGAGGAGGAGGAGGAGCTGCTCGCCCAGGAGGCCCCCGGCACCGAGAGGACCCTCTCCCTGGAGCAGCACCGGCGAGCCCAGCCGTGCACGCCGCGCCACTCGCCGCTGCTCGAGCACTTCTTCCGGACGCTCGCCGAGCGCGCGCCCGACGCCGCGCGCCCGTCGAGCGCTCGCGCGAGCGCCACGGCGGAGCCCGGGGAACGAAGAATGACATGAACATTAAGTCGAAAATCCCCCTGTAGGGGGACAGGCCCGACTTAACATAAACATAAAAACTCGCAGGTCCGCGCGGATTTGTCGGATCCGCGCTGGGGCCCCCCTGGCGGCGCCTCCAGCGCCGCCCCTGGCGCGCTCCGCGCCCCAGGGAGGGGGATCCATCGCCAATCCGAGAAATCCGCGCGGACCTCCGAGTTTTTCACCACATCCAAAGTGGGGTTCATTTTTTCTCTGCACACGCCGCGCAGGATCTCACCCCCCCGTTTCCTCACTCAAACACTCACACATTCACACATTCATCATCATCACTATCATCTTCCTGAATCAGCATCACCACTCATCATCATCATCATCATCATCATCATCATCATCATCATCATCATCATCATCATCACCACCATCACCATCACCATCACCATCACCATCACCATCATCATCATCATCATCATCATCATCATCATCATCATCATCATCATCATCATCATCATCATCATCCCCCTTCCTCATCATCCTCATCATCGTCACCATCATCATCACTCGATCACTCACTCACCCACTCATCATCACTCACTCACTCACTCACTCACTCATTCACTCGCCAACCTGACTCACTCACACTCACTCACTCACCCATCATCACCACTCACTCACTCATCACTTCGTCATCACCCACCCCCTAGCTTGAACATGGATGAAGTCTCAAGCGGGAGCTTCGTCTGTGAGTGCATTGCGAGTGAGTCTCCTGCGGGAGCCCCCTCCCTATGTGTCCCGCATTTCATGTTGGTAATCCGAGCGGGTCATCCGAAACGTGTAATTGTCGTCCCTTTTGGGGCTCCTCAGGCCTGAATTTGGAGGAGGTATCAAGTGGGAGCCTCGTCTGCAGGTGAATTGCGAGGAAGTCTCAGGCGGGAGCTCCCCCCCTATGGGGCCCGCGGGTCATGTTGGTAATCCGAGCGGGTCATCAGATTCCTGTAACCGTCGTCACTTTTGGGCTCTCCAGGCTTGAGTATGGGAAAAGTTTTCGGCGGGAGCAATGTCTGTGAGTGAATTGCAAAGGAGTCTCAAGTGGGAGCCTTCTCCCTATGGGTCACGCACTTCATGTTGGTAATCCGAGCGGGTCATCCGAAACGTGTATCGTCACGGTTGGGCTCCTCAGGCCTGAATTTTGGGTAAGTATTTAGCGGGAGCCTCGTCTGTGAGTGAATTGTGAGGAAGTCTCAGGCGGGAGCCCCCTTCCTATGGGTCCCGCATTTCACGTTGGTAATCTGAGCGGGTCATCCGAAACGTGTAACTGTCGTCACGCTTGGGCTCTTCAGGCCTGAATTTTGGGTAAGTATCAAGCGGGAGCCTCGTCTATGAGTGAATTGTGAGGAAGTCTCAGGCGGGAGCCCCCTTCCTATGGGTCCCGCATTTCACGTTGGTAATCCGAGCGGGTCATCCGAAACGTGTAATTGTCGTCACTTTTGGGCCAAAGCTTAAGCCTCCAGCGGCTTGCTCGGCGACTCTCCGCCATGACGGGTCCCGAACTTCATGTTGGTAATCCGAGCGGGTCATCGGATTCCTGCGATTTTCATCATATTTGGGGCTCCTCAGCTCCTGCGGCGTGAATACGGGGGAAGGGCTCCTCAGCTCCTGCGGCCAGAAAGCGGGGGAGGTGTCAGGCGGGAGCTTCGTCTGTGAGCGAGGTGCCGGTAGCGTCGTCTGAGCTGGTCGTCGGCAAATTTGTTGTTGTCATGGGCCTGCGTGCCCGACAGGGCGACTGAGGAGCTGACGACGACGACGACGACGACGACGACGACGACGACGACGACGACGAGACAGCGGCCGGGCGACGGGGTAGCCCCTTATGTCCAGGCCGGGGGTGGTAACCCATCCTCGGCCGAATCGGGGGCAGGGGTAACCCCTTGTCTCCGGGCCGCCGGTGGTAACCCATCGGCGGCCGAATCGGGCGCAGGGGTAACCCCTTGCGTCCGGGCTGGGGGTGGTAACCCATCCTCGGCCGAATCGGGGGCAGGGGTAACCCCTTGTCTCCGGGCTGGCGGTGGTAACCCATCGTCGGCCGAATCGGGGGCAGGGGTAACCCCTTGTCTCCAGGCTGGCGGTGGTAACCCATCGTCGGCCGCATCGGGGGCAGGGGTAACCCCTTGTCTCCGGGCTGGCGGCGGTAACCCATCGTCGGCCGAATCGGGGGCAGGGGTAACCCCTTCTCTCAGGGCTGGCGGTGGTAACCCATCGTCGGCCGAATCGGGCACATGGGGGAAACCCTTTGCGTCCGGGCAGGGGGTGGTAACCCATCCTCGGCCGAATCGGGGGCAGGGGCAACCCCTTGTCTCCGGGCTGGCGAAAGGAGAGTGTCCGTCAGGGCGAGGAGGAAAAGGGTAAGGGCAAGCTAAACAGATTATCATGTGGAGTTTTCCCGTCGGAGTAATGATGTTTATGTCATTCTTCGTTCCCTTAGGAGCGCGCCAACACGGCGGACGCCAAGTGCGTGGGCGCGCGGGAGCTCGGGGGCAACGTCAGGGCCAAAGGGGAGGAAGTCAGGGGCAGCGTTACCAGTGGAGGTCCATGCCAAGAAACACCCTGCTTGCCTCCAGGGTGCCCTTGGTTTCGTGGGTTTCGATGGTTTTGCTGTGGAAAGCGCGACGTTCCCATACCAAAAATCAATGGACGTCCTGGGGTCTCAGGGTTGGGCTTCTTGTGGAAGGTCTTTTGTGGACTGGCCTCCACTGTAGGGGAGGATAGGCTCGAGATTCGAGGTTTCCCGGCGTTCTCGTTCGTCCTCGGCTTCCCGGCGGCTTCCCATGCTCGGGGTGCCTTCCAGCGGCTGCGCCTCGCCGAGGGCGTTCCAGGGTGCCCGGGGTGTCCCGAACGGCCGCCGCAGGCCCGAGCTGTGGCCCGAAGAATCATCAGGCGATGGGCTTGAGGGGGGGACGCATAGACCCCGATCGCCGACAGGGGCCGCACGGCCCACCCCGCCTGGGAGCGTGCGGATCCCCTCTCGGGGCCCAGTCGGTGATTTCTATCGGCGACGCATCGCCGGTTCCAGCGCACGGAGCTCGCTCCCCAGTAATGACGTTGCGCCTCAGGCAAGGGAGCGATAGGACGACGACGGCGGCGAGGATTTCAACGAAACGCGATGCGTGCCAACGCGAGGAGGCAGAGCCCGAGGATGGAGGATGATGTGGAGGATAGGGCGATCTGTCGGCGATGTGTCGCCGATGTCAGGTCGATCCCCCGCTGACGCCTCCCCAATCAGGAGAGCGCGCGCCAGCCCCGTGGCGGGCACGACCAGCCCGCGGCGGGGGACGAGGGCGCGCCCCACGGCGCGCGGTGGGAGAAGGGCCGGCGGAGCCAGCGGGTGAGGCTGGGCAGGGGGCTGGTGGCGACGCGCCACAAGGATCGGAGGGCGGGGACTACGCACAAGTCGGGCCTGTCCCCCTTCAGAGGGGATTTTCGACGAAAAAACCCAAAATAGCAAAAAAAAAAAAAAAAAGTCTGGGGGCTATTTGTTGAATGTTGTTTGACCTTTTGGGGGCATTTCTGGGGCATTGTTGGGGTATGTTTGATTTTTCGTCGAAAATCCCCCTGGAGGGGGACAGGCCCGACATAACACTACGCTGGGGGCGTTCGTGCAGAGGTGTGCCCAGGAGGCTCTAGGCCCTGGAGGACTCCCTGTCTGACGAGGGCGGCGATGATGTCCATGGCCAGTCCGCGTCTGGAGTTCCACTGGCTTCCAGACCCTGGATTTCTGTTGTTCCCGTCCTACTTAAGGACCGCATCCCAGAAATAATTTCGAGCACCCAGAGAAGTGTCAAAAGAGTGCCGAAACAGTGCCGAAGCAGTGCCGGGCGAGTGTCTCCCAGGGCCCAGCACGTGAAAACCCTTGAGTTTCGGTACTTGTTTGGGGCGCTCGAAATTCCTCCTGGCGGTCAAGGCCAAAGTAGGTTGGAGCATCATAACCCTGGATTCCTGCTGCATGGTTCCTCCCCCAGCGCGCCCTCGCCACAGTGCACCAGCACCGATCCGAGCCAGGCCCACCCCGGGCCCGGGATCGGCGCGTGTGCTCTCTCCTCCTCCTCCTCCTCCTCCTCCTCCTCCCTCCTCCTCCTCCTCCTCTCCTCCTCCTCCTCCTCCCTCCTCCTCCTCCTCTCCTCTTCCTCCTCCTCCTCCTCCTCCTCCTCCTCCTCCTCCTCCTCCTCCTCCTGTGTACAGCCAAGACGCTGAAATCAGGACCGCTCTGGGTTCGGAAGGGGGCTCGGGGATCGGGGTCGGCTCCCAGACGCGTGCCGCGGGCTCTGCCTGTGGCCGAGCGCCCACCGTGGCCAGAAGAGCCCCGGGGGGGGAGGAGGAGGAGGAGGAGGAGGAGGAGGAGGAGGAGGAGGAGGAGGAGGAGGAGGAGGAGGAGGAGGAGGAAGGGTAGGAGGAGGAGGAGGAGGAGGAGGAGCAGGAGGAAGAGGAGCAGGAGGAGGACGAGGAGTTGGCGCTCCTTCTGGCAGCACCTCGACTGCACACCGAGCCGGGGCCCAGGATGGGCTTGGCATGAAGTCGGGCCTGTCCCTCCACAGGAGGGATTCTCAAAAATAGTTATACAAAGAATAGCCTGGGGACTACTTTTTTGACTATTCTGGATCATTTTGGGGGGCATGTTTTGCGTATAATTCAATTTTTGTCACCCCAAATCCCCCTGTGGGGGGGGACAGGCCCGACTTCAGCTTGGCAGCGATCGGCGCACGCGCACCGCCGAGGAGGCGCCGCGGGCCGACGCCGCCGAGCCCTCCAGCCGCCTGGCGCAGCTCCACCGCCTGCAGCTGGCCGGGGGCCAGGGTGCGTGACGGCGGCCGCGGTGTTTTTCCGGGCGAGGCGTGCGCTCCTCCCCCCCTATCGCGCCTGCAGGCCAACGTTCGGTCGGGCCTCTCCCTTCGGGGGCGGCACAGAGGGGGGTGAGGACCAGGGGGGGGGGATATCATGGCGGGGGCCATGATATCTCCCCAGACTTCATGGCGCCTCTTCTTATTTCATTACGTCCCTGGCCCCCCCGCTGTGCCGCGCACATGCCGCCAGTCATGATTTGCACCCCCCCCTCTTGGACACCCCCCTCTTGGCCGCTCCCGATCCCTCTGCAGGGGGAAGATCCAGAAAGAGTCAAAAAAGATACTCGGGGGGCTATCTGTGGAGCAGTCGTTGGCCATTTTTGGCGCCTTGTTGGGGGGTGTGTTTTTAAAGTTTCGTCGAAAATCCCCCTGTCCCTCTGCAGGGGGAAGATCCAGAAAGAGTCAAAAAAATACTCGGGGGGGCTATCTGTGGAGCAGTTGTTGGCCGTTTTGGGCGCCTTTTTGGGGGGTGTTTTTTCAAGTTTCGTCGAAGATCCCCCTGTCCCTCTGCAGGGGGAAGATCCAGAAAGAGTCAAAAAAAATACTCGGGGGGACTATCTGTGGAGCAGTTGTTGGCCGTTTTTTGGCGCATCTTTGGGGGGTATGTTTTTACGTTTCGTCGAAGATCCCCCCTGTAGGGGGACACGCCCGACTTAAGGCCAACGTGGCCCTTCGCCGGAGTGGCCCTCGGTGCGGGCGCCTTGGTCCGGGCGCGGGAGAGGGATGGTCAATGATGTATCCCAGGGTGGGGCTGGAGAGGGCGGGCCCAGCCAGGTACTCCCGTGTGGCGCACTTCCTTCTTCCAGGGGCCGTGCGGATCATTGCCCCTCCAGCCCCCGCGTTTGCCCCTACCCCACCTTCCAAGGGCTCCCACGAGGGCGCGAAGTTAGTCGCGCTTCGCGGGCCTCATTCCTCCTCCCCCTCCTCCTCGTCCTCCTCTTCTCCCATTTGGGGGCGGCGCGAGAGCGCGAAGTTGTTCGCGCAGCGCGAAGCGCGAAGTTAGGAGCCCTTGACCTTCGTGCCGCCCCCAACCCCAACGGGGGCCCCCCGATCGCCGAACGCGATGCGATGGCAGCGGCTGTCGTGCTCGGGCTCGACCCCCCCCCGCGCCCCCCCTGTAGGACCGCGCACCAAGGGTCACTCTTGCCCAGGGCCACCCCTTACGTGCTGCTGACTCTCGCCCGCGTCCCCGCCGCACTCGCGGGCGCCAGGCCGCGCGAAACCGCGCAGCCACCGGCGCGCCGCAAAACGTCGCCTGCGCATCCGATGCGGGGTCCTGGGGCTCGCCTCGGCCGTACAGTGGAGGCCCATGCCAAGAAACGCCCTGCTTGCCTCCAGGGAGCCCTGCGTCCCTCGGTTTCTTGGGTTTCGATGGTTTTGCTATACAAAGCGTGACGTTCCAACACCAACAATCAATGGACGTCCTGGGGTCTCAGGGTTGGGTTTCTTGTGGGAGGTCTCTTGTGGACTGGCCTCCACTGTACTTGGGAGTGGTTCCCTTCTGCGCCCGCGACGGCGGGCACGGCCCCGGGTCTCGATTCGCATGCTCGTGTGCCGGCCGACCCACGCCAGCGGGATCGAGCATGTTCCGCGTCTCGGGGCGTTGTCTTGGCCTGCACCTCTGATCGCGCCACTGCTCGCTTACCGTTCCCTCTCGTACGATGTTCGAGCTCATGCGCCCCCGCGCGCGCGCCTGCATGCGCACGAGCACGTGCGCACTCCTGGTGCGCGCCCACTTCTCATGCCTCGCGTAGCCGAATACGCTCAGGAACTTTGGATCAGCGTGTCGCTGCGCCGAATCTGGCCCACCACGTTTTGGCGCGACACGCTATCCACGTCTCAGTCCCCGAGCGTCAACGTCCCAAGTTGCTCCCCGCCTCCCGCCCGCGAAGCGGAGCAACACGCCATCCGCTTGCAAGGCAGAGCGCGCCGCCGGGCCGCCGCCGCGGCACGCTCAGCAGACGGTTCCGACCGCATCACAGTGCCACGCATCTACAGTTCTCAAAGCACTTCTCACCCATTCAGTTTGGCCTCCTCAATCCTCGTCCCAATCCCCAGCGATGCTCAAAAATGCCCGTTGATCGGGCGCTGCTGAACCTGGAGGTGTGCTCCGTGGAGCTTCGGGGCCTGGAGGTGGAATCGGAATTCCGTTGGGATAATGTGTGTGTGCGCGGCTGTGGATCAGGATTCCGTTGGGATTCGCCGTGTGGTGCGACCATGGTGCACCGCCATCGGTAAAAGCATGCATTGCATCGGCACTGCAATCACGTCCTCGTCCGTCGCCGTCAGCATCCGTAGTTATCGATACTGGAAACATTCGCTCGTCGTCATCATCGTCGTCTAGCTCGTTCCAGGCGCCGGCATCGCAAACCAGCGCTGTTGCCCCAGAGACGTCCGACACCGGATGGCCAGAACAATTGCTCGGATGGGGGGACGCCAGTTTCGGGAGTCGAGGGTCTTGGAAGTGTGGCATGGCGGCCAGAAGCAGCACTGCGGGGCAAAAATGTCCCGAGTTGGAATGCCGTCGTCGCGTGTCGTCGCCGGCCCAAGGTGCAAGTTATTACTCCTCCTCCTCCTCCTCCTCCTTCTCCTCCTCCTCCTCCTCCTCCTCCTCCTCCTCCTCCCCCCAACTCCTCCTCCTCCTCCTCCTCCTCCTCCTCCTCCCCTTTCTTTTTGTGCAAGAGCCATGGCACACGTGCCACTTGTTAAGGGCTCTGTTGATTTGGGGCGGGTCAGGTCGAATGCCAAGGCAAGAGGGGGTCGTGATGCCGCTAAGGCAGTGGCATCTGGGAGGGAGGCGGGGTAGGAAGTCGTTGGCGATGGTCTAGGGCATCGGTTGGGGTACATGTTCAGGGTAATGCTGGTCTACAATCGAGGTGTTGGTGGCGCAACGCCGCCGTGTGAGGGAGTTCGAGGGCGGCGGGTGAAGGAACGGAGGAGCGCGTTTGTGTTTGAGATGGCGGGAGATTAGAACTCGTGGGTCATATTCAGCTTGGTCAGTAGACACAGGTTCCATAGTCCTGGACACTTCCGATCGTGAAGTGGTATCGACTGCTCGGGTGGTCTAGCCGTGCGCAGAAACGGTTGCGGACAAAGAGTTGGGTTCGCGCGGTTGACAATGCAGCACGGGTGTGCACAGTTTGTTATATTTATTTCGGAGATGATTTGTGACAGGGATTGTGTGATGTTTGGTTGCGACAAGCGCGCTCGAGTGCGCACATGTAATGATATACGTACACGTATAGATGTATATACATATAACAATGTGCAAAACCTTTTGTGGTCATTGTGCGTAGCACCCTTATTCACCGCGACGATTGTTTATTCTTCATACAAAAGGGAGACAAACTCCATCAACGCAAATCATGGCGAAAACACAGCTCCATTACCAAAACAACACAACACAAAATGTACGATGATGCATGTGATATATTGCGGAAGTGTGATCGTTCGATGCATTGCATTAATACATATAGAATTTGCGAGACCAATATTGCGAAAACCAGAATATCAATCATCCGAGATACGTTGCGCAGATCGTCTTGCTGACGCATTATGCTTTAAGTTGGCGCGTGGTGTTTGCTCAGTTCGATTCCGCATCGGACCCCCTGTCCCCGTTTGACGCTGATGGCGATTCGTCGTCGGGAAGAAGCGGGCAGTAGAAAAACGTCCATAACCAGTCATCGATCACGTTATCAAACTATGTTTTGAAATTGCGTATAATCAAACACATATTGTCTTATATATATAGACGTATCCTGGAAACCGCACCGCATTTTTCTGAAATGGTTGCAGTTTTTTGTTCTTGGCCAGTTCTTTGGAGAGTTGCGGTGGACAGACAGAATCCAGGCGGCGCCTACACGGCGCATCGGCACGCAAAAATGCTTTGAGTTTTGCATTGGGACGCGTGGTCAACACACGCCAAACGCGCGTAAGAATGCATGGAGGCAGACGCGCCAAATGTGCACCAAGAAAAACACAAGACACGCCAAACGCGTGCCGGCACAGGGGGGGCGGAAGAAGAGAGGGGGAGGACGAGGCGGAGGATGGGAGGAGGGCAGGAGGGGAGGCGAAATTAGAGCCACAGATTTTCCATGCGATCGCGCACGCAACGAGCCCATTGTTGTTTGGGCCTCCCAGGCCTGCGGTTGAATTCCCAGTTTTTGGGTTCATGCGAGCATGGCATGCACGCTAGAATCCTAAACCATAAGGTCAGAGGGCAGGGCACAAACGGTATTATACAGCTTGGTTTGCCGATCGAGCAAAACTGCGCTCAAAGGGGGCTGGGATGTTTTTTTTTCCAAGACTGTCGCATTGAAAACTCTCGTGGTGAACGAAGATGGGATGGACATGATTTTTCTCAGTCAGCGCGCGTGGGAACCGTCCAAACGACGTTTGTCGGCTTGCAGCAGCAATATAGATTCGAGGTTCTAGAGAAGGTTTGGCAGCACGATCGCACTATAAAGTTCCAGCTTTCTTTTCCTGGGTACGTTCGCATGCGACCAACATCTCTGCATCGCTTTAAAATTTCATATCGTTTCCCCAACTCGTCTGGTAAGTTCTGCTTTTGCGGACGCGTCTGCAGCGATTGAACCTCCGAGGTAAATTGCTTGTTCCACTGTTTTAAGAGGGTTCCCAAACGGATCAAAAATACATTTGTTGTGTTGGATTTGCATCATAAGAATTCTGCCCCACTTCAGTTCTAACCCGTAGGCAGACCCTTCTTCGATAACAGCGTTCTGAACTGATTGTAAGTTGTGCATATTCTTGCTCGCCAGAATTGTGTCGTCTGCGTACAGGAGGCCCGTGGCCACAATGAAAGGTGGTTCTTGGATAGTTGCCGTCACCTCGTCCATGTGTTTGTCGACGTCGAAGAACAGCACCAACTGAACTGTTATATAGATATGTACATACGGGGCGACGGGCAGCCTTGAGCGATCCCAGTTTGTTCTTGTTGTTGAATTGCCTGCTTCGTCTTGTAGGATGAAGGAAGAAACGCTCTGGATGTGTATATAGATAGATGTATGTATACACAGACATATATACATACATGCATACATGCTGCAGAACTCACCATTCTTTCTGGAATTCCAAATCGGCGTAATGCGTTAATCAATTCGTCGTGTTATAATATGCCGAGAGTTTTGGCTCAATAATGCTGGGAAGCCAGATGAGGCAGACGCAAGCCGCGTCGAACGCACGATGGAAATAGCTTGCGTTGTACTCTTGCTGGGTCGGAAGCCAAATTGTGTTTTTCGCAGTCGTGCTTATATTCCTTTTTTTTGCAAGCGTTTTTGTATAATTGACGCCACCATTTTATAGCTGATTAGTGGAAGCGCAATTGGCCTGCAGTTCGCCGGGACGCTGGCGTCGCCCTTGTACAGCAGCGACACACCTGATATTTGCCATTGTGATGGTCTTTCGTTGTGATCCCAACCTTTTTGACGCAGCTGTAATAAATTTCTCAAGGCCCTGCCATTGTGCAGCAAGTGCTTCCAGAATTCATGAGGTGTGTCATCAACTTTGACAGCCTTCCTAACCGGCAGTTGTTTCATAAAAGCAAAAAATAATAACAACAAAAAATTGTGGTCAGTTCTTCCATTGCAAAGAGTTACCAAAATAATATGCCAATACATTGCCGCGCTCTTGGCTTTCAACGAATCCCCCATTCGAATATGTAATGTATCATGGTTTCTTTGCGGGCTTTTTTTTGAAAACTGTTGAATTGCTCGTCAAGCGCCGCCGTGCAATTTGAGAGCTGCGAATACTTCAGATAAAAAGCCGACGATTAAGGCATACCCGGGCAAGCACCCCCGCAATGCCTATTTGAACTTGCGACGTGCCCCAAGAAGTGGTTTCCCATTCGCACCCAATAAGCGCGCTGGAAGTTTTTTTCCCGTAAAGTCTTTGTAATTTCTTCGTACGAAACTTCCTTAGACATGTTTCCCATCGTCCTTCTCCCTGGTATTCACCCGGCCCACCACATATTTAACCCAGCGTCTTCACAATGATCTTTGACAAGCGTTTCTTCCGTTTAGCTGTTCCAATAACCAAAACAGCATGCCAGCAATGGGCCCAATCGTTTCAATAACAAACGGATTCATTTGAACAATTAATCGCTCCCGTTTCAATAGCAAAATAACTGATTCACGAATAAGCCGCACCCGTTTCAGCAATGAGAAGAAAGCGTTTTGATGATGAGCCGTACCGTGTCAGCACTACGAACATACATATATATATGTATATATGTACCAAAACAAGTTCAATAACGAGTCGCAGTCGTAAGGGTTCTGGTGATTAGGACAATCGTTTCAGCAACGATGGTTTTACAAGGGATAATTGGACGGGAACGGATATAACAATTCAGATGCAGAGTGTAGTCTGGCGAGACGGTAAGAAAGTTATTGATAGGAAAGCGGCGAATGAAGGCAAAAGGGCTAAGCCAAGAAATGCGGCACGGCGGAGCGGCGGGAAGGTTGTTTTGTTTTCTTTTCCTGCTTTCCCTTTCTTCAAAGAGCTGATGTCCGGAAACGGTCTCGGCGAGGTGGTTCCCCTACAAGTGCCAGATAAAAAT